CCGGCGGTGTCACTGCGTCTGCGCCGGCGGTGTCACTGCGTCTGCGCGAGCTGAGACGGGACGGTGGTAAAGAAACTGTTAACCGAGTTTTGTGGTTATCCAGTCACTTAATTCTCACAACCCTGGAAGGGCAGGGGTTGGGGGTGGTCTGTTATCCCCATTTTACAGACGATGAAAAGGAGGCAGGCAGATTAAGCGACCTGACCAGCGAGGTCGCTTTCGAACTCGAGTCTTTGCGACTTCTAGGCTATTCTCGCAACCGCACTAGAGAACCTGGGGCAGAAGGTGTCGCCCCCTCCTGGCGCCAGGCGGGAGCTCAGCCTCCGACATCCTGGAGGAAAGGACCGAAATGCTCTCCTTCTGTCTTTGAATGGCATTTGTCTTGCTATCTCTTCCAGCGGAATTTTGCTGGAAATGTCCTGAAATCCTGATAATTTATGTAGGTTTATTTTACATCATGTATTAAACATTTAACAACTGGCTCTCTGAAATACGCCGAAAGTTGAACAATCAGGTTTCACCTGTGGGACCTGTCTCCCGCACACCGCTCGCTGTCTGTACCTTTGCTAGTTTATTAATTAATTAAATAATCAATTTACTTGATTAAAATAAATTGTTTAAATTAATTTTTCGTTGACTCTTTAGGGATATGTAACCTAAGAATTCTTAATTTTTTTTTTGTATCATGACTGCCTTTTTTCAGTCTGGTGAAGCATATAGATCCCTTCTTAGACTAAGGTATCTAAATACATAAAACAAAATATTTAGTATCATGAAAGAAACCAACCGAAATGCAGTTATCAAAATGTTTCTGGTTAAGAACCTCTGCCCCAGATAGTATCTTCTCCTTATGTGCAGGGGTGGCCTTTCCTGATGTCCCTTAATAATACTTTATCTCTGTTGGTTAGCGCTATATACTTTGCTTGTAATTTGTTGTTTACATGTTGTCTCCCTCCTTAGATTATGAGGTCCTTGAGAGCAGAGACTGTTTTTTTTTTGCCACATGAAGCGTATTCCTATTTCCCCAATTGCTAAGGTCCTTCCAAATGACTTTATATTTAACTATTTTATATTTATTTCTTTTATTGTATATACACACACATATGTGTGTGTTTATAAATTGACTATTCCATTAGAATGTAAGCTCATTAAGCAAAAAGCTTTTTTTATTCCTTAATATTTGTATCCTCAGAGCCCTGCCTGGCACATAGGGCTTAACAAATGTTGATTGATTGATTGTTATGTTGGTTAATTTTGCTGAACTTCCTCCCCCTCTTTTTAAAAACCCTTTGTCTAAAGAAGGGATGGCTTTCTGGGTGAGTTAGGAGGGAGGAATATATTTGTAGATCAACCTGATGTTAAAATGAAAGATATCAATGAATGAAAGAAAAAAAGGAAAGAAAGGAAGGAAGAAGAATACATTTTTGGCCTTGAAATATTCAAAAGCACTCATGAATACTGGATGGAAGATGAGGCAACAGTGCAGAAATACCCCACTCCTAAAAGTGGTGGTGATGGGAGCGGGACAGGGAATTCTGGAACAAAATACAGGAAATAAAATCTATTTTCATGCTGAAAAAAAAATGCCATTTTAAAAATTTCATCCCATAGACAATGGGAAGCCAACAGAAGATTTTAGAGCACGGGCAGAATCTGTTCAGACCCATGCTTTTTTCAAGATTTTGTCAGCTGTATGAATGGGTTAGAGAGGGGCAGAGGCTCAGATGAGACCAGTTGGGTCATGGTTCAGGTGAAAAGTCATAAGGGATTAAACTAGAATGGTGGCAGCAGAAGAGGAAAGAAGGAGATAGACCAATGTTCTCAAACTTGTTTTGCTCATGGAATGGCATTCCTTTTGAGGAACATTATAGGAGAATGTAGAATTTGCACATAGACATACAATTGCAAGTGTAAGTTCCGTACATTTAGTTCCATACATGTGTTACATTTAGTTCCATACATGTATTAGTTCCATACATGTGTAAGTTCCATACATTTGGTGGTACACTCCCTTTGAGAACCACTGTGATAGACAACAGACTTGTTTGAATTGCAGTTTTGTTTCCTTTTCAGTCAGAATATTGGTAGAGAAAGCTTTATGCCTTGGGGGTTAAATCAAAATGGCTAAAATCTCTACAAGCAGATCTCATGTATGTTTTATATGGAAGGAGGTACATAAGAATATCAATGCTTAGCCATTTTAGGTGATGAGTTCCTGGTTTTCCAGGATCTATCTAGGGCAAGCCAAATAGACCTTTCACTAACCTCTTGGTTCAACAAATCGGCAACCAGAGTCCTAGTGACAATTTCTGAAGTGTGGAAGAAAATTGCAAGGATTCAAAGAAAGCTCCCTCAAAGTGATTAAAAACTAGAAAAAGAAATGCTGCAGGACTGATTGTTGAAGTTTTTGTAGTACTTTTTCATGATTCTGGGATTAAAAGGTGGTAAGGATAGTTTATCCTTCCAACGTCCCTTTGAAAAGCCTCAGGGGAAGTGATATTGCCATGGGTAAGAAAATCAGATTTATTTCTTACATGCACTGGCACCAGCTCAGCACCCCACTATTCCCAATGATAAACCAGATTTGGTAATTCTTATGTTCTCTGTTGGGAAAGAATAATTGGAAATTGTTGCTGATGGGGAAAACACGTGACTAAAATAATCATAACAAAAATAATGTTAAGTGACATGATTTTTTGAAGTTTACAAAGCACTTTGCATATACTCTCTGATACTTTTAGGATGCAAAGGATGGATCACAGAATTATAGATTTAGAGCTCGGAGGGACTGGAGGACTTACAATGTGTGATAGATTATTCCTTGGTAATGTATTTACCATCGATTCCTTTCTGATTCTACCATGATCATATGGCCCTTATCATCTCATACCTAAACTATCGAAACAGCCTCTTCACTGCTTTTCCTGCCTTCAGTCTCTCTCCTCATTCCAATCTATCTCATACACTACCAACAGATTTATCCTCTTACAGCACAGCTTTGCAGGTTGCTTCTCTGCTCAGAAACTTTCAGTAGTTCCTCATTGCCTATAGAATCAATTTCACTTTCCTTAGCACAGCATTCAAGTACAATTGGTTTTGAAATTGGTGAAATAACTACCTAAAGGGCAGTTTTTGATGAATCATTGTTAACATGGAATTTTGTCTCCAATGGATTGATCTCAGTGATCTATCCTTAGCTCTGTTCTAGTAAACATTTTTATTAATGACTTTGAGGATGCTTTTCAAATTTTCAGATGGCACAAAGGTGGGAAGGATAGCTAATATGTTGAATACAGAAAGTGTTATCCAAAGAGAACTTGACAGTTCCACAGAAGATGGGATCAAACGGGAAGGAATTGATTAATTGAGAGGAAGGTAAAGTTCTACATTTGGGTTAAAAAAATTCAAGTATAGAATGGTGGAAATACAGCCCGATTAATATTCCTACAGTACAAGTCTGACTATGCCACTTCCCTGCTCAAGAAACTCCAGTGACTTCTAGGAGGAAACACAACCCTCTTTTTTTGGTTTTTAAAGCCCTTCACAGTCTGCTTCTAGCCTACCTTTCCTGGCTTATTACATATTATTTCCCTTCACGTACTCTGTGTTCTAACCAAACTGGCCTACTTTTTATTTCCATTAGCCTACATTCCATTTTCTTCCTCCATGTCTTTGCATAGGCTGGCCCGTATAGCTGGAGGTCCCTCTTGACCTCTACCTTATAGAATCCCTAGCTTTCTCTAAGTCTCAGATAAAGTGTCACCTCTTCTACAAGGCCTATCCTGATTCTCCAAGTTACTGGAGCCCTTTCCCATTATGGTTTGTACTTTCTCTGTACCTAACTCACCTCCACATCAAAGCTACACTGTCAAAGGATTGGTCCTGAGTCAGGCCCAACTGGTCTTACCTGAGCCTCTGTTCCTCTTTAATCCATTCATACAGCTGACAAAATCTTGAAAAAAAGCATAGGTCTGATCAGATTATGCCTGTGCTCTAAAATCTGTTGGCTTTCCATTGTCTATGGGGTGAAATAAAAAAATGGCATTTTTTTTCAGCATGAAAATAGGTTTTATTTCCTGTATTTTGTTCCAGAATTCCCTGTCCCGCTCCCATCACCACCACTTTTAGGAGTGGGGTATTTCTGCACTGTTGCCTCATCTTCCATCCAGTATTCATGAGTGCTTTTGAGTATTTCAAGGCCCAGTCCAGAACACTTTCCTTTCTTCAGAAGTCCCAAACACATTGCTCACTTCCTTGGGGCTTACTCTCCAAAATATCAGCAACTTGGTCCTCTCTTTCCCACCAGGATAAATTCACTGTGAGGCAACCTAGATGACTGATGAGACCTCCTTTTATATATTGTCTTTCCCCATTAGAATGTAAGCCTGTCTTGTTTTTCATATCCCCGTGCAAAGTGCTTGGCACACAGCAAGTACTTAATAAATGCTTTTTCTGGGGTATGTTGGTCTAGTGACTTACAGGGTTGATAAGTTGATCCAAAGGGCCATAGTAGTTTGGATTTGATTTCTGTGCCCAGAGCAAGAGATAGACAAGTGCACAAGGCAGCTGACAAGATGGCTGGCATGAGTGGTTGAATGGGATCTGAAGTATGGTTTGGTCTAGGGTAAAGTAGGGTAGGTGCATTTGTGCTTACTGATCAAGAACGCTCAGTTCTTGAGCAAGAGTTTTAAAGCTGAGATGAATGATCCCTTCAAGGAC